GAAGCTTGCATGCTTCAAGTGATATCGGAATGACCTGGATCAGTGATCGCCAGTGTGCGTGCTCTGTAGTACTTTTCACGTGCTGTGCCCAGATCAATATTATGCCACTGTGGTGATGGATGCCAGCTTTGGCCAACATGGCATAGTACTCTTCAGAGTCTGCTTTTACCCCACTGTGCACTTTCCACTTTTCATGACGAGTCGGAGCCTGGAGCTGATGGACTCCAGAGGCTCTTTCATCTTCTCTGCAGCCACCATCTTCCTGCTTTAGCTGGGTGACTGTCCCAAACAAAGAGCAGCCACCAAGATGCCCGGGAAGCAAGAAAGTGGGGCTTCAGACTTCGACCCTTGTCTTTGACCTTGCATAGCAAGATGTCCAATTTGTCCACTTGATGCACCCTAAATAAAAACATGAGGACTGCTAGAGGTGGCTGGGAGATAGCAGATGAGCAGTGTGCTGTGGAAAGAACAGAGAGTCGCCCCAGAGAGGGCACTGTCCTCCCGGCAGAAGCAAACGGGAAGGACTGGAAATGAGGTCTAAAATAATTACTGCACTTATGGGAATAAAAAGATGCATTAATAAACCTGTTAATTATGAAAGGGTGAGAGAGATCATGCAGGGCAAAGAGGACAATCCAGCTGCCTCTCCTAGTCGATTAGTAGAAGCTTTCCATAAATCTATGAACTCAGTTCTGACTTCAGGGGAAGGTCAGGTACCAGTGGGACAGTGTTTCTCACTGTCAGTTGGCCCCAGCTGTTTGGCACAAATTAAAAACCTTCAGATGAGTTTCTGGACCCCTGGGGCCCCATTGTGAAACTCAGCCTTTTCAATCGTGATCTAGAGGAGGATAAATAGGAGAGGAACCAAGAGCAAAGGCAGACCAAAATTGTACTGTCATAAGTGGCAGTACCTTAAGCACACCCAGGTTGTCCAAGGGAAACCCAGGGCCAATCAAGGAAAGAGTTACGGTTTTAAACGCAAGGAATCTGGACACTGGGCATGCAACTATATTAGGCAGCCACTCGGGCCCTGCTCCATGTAGCAGGTGGCTGGTGTGAATGATTTATGGCACTGGAGGATTGACTGTGCCCACAGCTTACATGGGCATCGGTACTGGGACTCCTGCTTTTTACTGGGTAACAGGGCTGCATTCTCAGGCTCTTGATAGCCTAATATCCCTTCGCAATGCTTTCCTGTCCACAGAACACGTGGAAATAAAACTCCTAGAAAAATGTCTCAAATAATAGCAAGGAAAAACACTGTCTTTTTGCTGGCTCAGTCATAGTACACTTTTCAAGAGAGAGACCAAAAAATATTCCGACCTGTTCCTTCTCATACTTGGCTGCTGGCTCTTAAACCTGGTAGTAAGCTTTGCCCATTGAAGGCTTCCACAGATCCATCCTCAGATGATGATCCAGCCCATGACTCTCCTACAGCTTTCTCCCACTGGCCAGGCAGTTTGACAGTTCCTGACATGTGGGCACTAGTTCTTCTCTCCTTCTCTCTCTCTCTCTCTCTCTCTCTCTCTCTCTCTCTGTGTGTGTGTGTGTGTATGCATGTGCGTGTGCATGTGTGCGTGTGTGTGTGTGTGTGTGTGTGTGTGTGTGTGATTCAACTCACAACATTGTGCTTACCTGGCAAGCACTTGTGCCACTGAGCTAAATCCTCAGCCCTCTCCTTGTCTTCTGACAAATTCTTGCCAGCCCAGCCAGTGAGCCCAACATCCAGGGTAGTCAGAGAGCACAGGTCCCCCAGCCGCAGGTAGAGCCTGCAGGCCTTTTCAGCAGGAAGCAGCTGTAAGAAGAGGCCAGTGCTGCCTCAGCATCCCGTGAAGAACTGGAGATTCTGTCCCTCGGAGGCAACTGAGGTAGATTAGTGCTGGGGCAAACCTGCTGGGAGGAAGCTGTCAAAGTCTTGGAGACTCAGGGCACACGCAGAGAACACGGGCTCCAGGATGACCCTGAAGCGCCTGGGTCCTGCACACTGAACCAATCAGAAAAGCCCTCTTTGCAAGTCTTTATTTATATCCGCAGGAAACCAAGCAAGTCTTCCATAGGGCAGTTTAAACCTGGCTTCAGCCCCAGTGCTTTTCTGATAGGACAATATCCCAAAGGCTTATTTGCATCAGAAAGAAGTCAGTCCAGGAATTGCAGCTCCAAAAGCCCCCTTGCCCTTGTGCTGGAGCTGCTAGGAGTCTGAGCCCAACTATGCTGTCCCTGCAGAGCGTGTGTCACCACCTTTCAGTGAATGTGTACCTCGATACCTTTTCTGTGTCTCACTCAGTTCTCTGTTCCCGACCCCAAGATCCTGGCGAGAGTCCCCCGGGACGCACCTCCGGTACCAGTCAAATTCTACCTGCAATTTCACCACTTCCCTGACAACTTATTTTCTTTCTGTTTTTATTGATCACAGACGTCCTAATAGGTGATAATTCATGTTCCTTCATTAAAATGAGTTTTTTAGGGGCTGGGGATTTAGCTCAGCAGCATAAGCGCCTGCCTTGCAAGCAGGCAGTCGTGAGTTCGATCCCTCGTACCGATAAAAACGAAAAAGACAAAAAAAAAAAAAAAATGAGTTTTTAAAAACTGACAACGTATTTGTTTGATTTCAAAAAAAAAAAAATGAGAGGCCCAAGCTGAATAAATAAGTGTTTCCCTAACAGGGTTGGGATTCAGAGTCAAAATTCCCCAAAGTCCCTGCTCCAGAGTGGTGAAAACTTGATTTCCCAGCAACCTCGCTGTTGCTGGGTTGAGTGCCGCAGGAGGACTGAATGGACTGAAAATGCGCAGCGCCCGGACTCAGAGGCGGGCAGGCGCGCCCTCCAGTGGCCATTCCTTGCTGGTGTCAGTGAATAAAAAAAGCCCGCCCAGGACACATTTCAGTATTGCAGTCACTGTTGAAGGCCAATCCAGTGCACTGGGGCCTTGGGCTGGCTCCCGGCGCGGCTCTGTCCTTTGATGTCGGTATGCACTCTGCCTTCCTTCCTTCCCAATCATGCCGTTTCCATAGCTGGCTTGCTGTTGTTCAACATTATTTTATTTATTTAAATTTTACATATTTATGGAATACAGTATGTACTAATGCACAGTAAGAGCCTGGCATGGTGGTGTCTGTCTGTAATCTCAGCTACTGAGGAGGCTGAGGCAGGAGGATCTTGAGCTCGAGGCCAGTACACATATACAATGTAGAGCCATCAAATTGAAATATTTAGCAGTTGTAGCCCCTTGGTCATTTGTTTGTGCAGGGAACCTTCCAACTTCTCCCTTTTAGATGTTTATACAATATATGTGCTGTGAAAGACTAGAACTAGAACTTACTCTTCCTATCCATGTTATATGTGTTTAAGTGGAGGTCTTGTATGTTGCCAATCTGCTTTGCAGACTATACCGCAGCACGTGCAGCTGCAGCTGTTTAAACTCCCACCTGCCTGGCCGTTTGCTTCCTTGCCGTAGCTCCATGGAAAACGCGGCCCTTAGAGCAGCAGAGCTAAGTCATGAGACGCAGAGGTGTGCTCTGTATGTGGCTGGGGCTGCCGAATTGAATTAAATCCACTGGCTGTATACAGTTAAATGCAAGTTCAGTTGAGATTTTTGTGCTCTGGTGTGGTATTTGCTGTTTCCTTTTAGAGATACAAGAAGCTCACTGAACCCTTTTAGTGTGAATTTTTTCTCCTCTCAGAGTAAGAAAGAGAACATGTCATTTAATTCACTGTACTTGGTTTGGAACCATGCTGTCCTGGGCTGTAAGCATCACTGGAAAAAAACTGGTAAAATTCTAGTCATTGAGAGTGACATCAGGAGGGAGGGCAGGGAAGACTGAAGAGGAATCAGCTTGACTGATATATGTGCCAGCTCCCACGAACAGTGTACTGTGTACAGCACTGATGTATTCGTAAACACTTAAAAACAGAACAGAAATGACATGGCACAGCAAGAGAACATGTAATCTTTAACTTAATCATATAGAGGAAAGGTTTGTTTCTCTGAGGGAGGACTCAGGGTTTCAGTGATGACTAAGCTGTGCCCACATTATTATGCAGTTTGGTTCTAGGATAATGACTTTTTATTGCCTGTATTACCATGAGTTTGAGGCCAGCCTGGACTACACAGTGAGACCTTGCCTCAAAAAAGCAACAAAACGAAACAAAACTTGCTAATAATGTTTAAGATTTAATTGAAGACTTTTTTTGCATCTGTTGACAAGATTACAAAAATTTTTCTCCTCGTCTGCTAATGTGAACTACCTTGATACATGTGCTAAGCTAATCACATGTTCTGGAAAGTAGTCCCTGGCTTGTGGAGATTTTCCTGACCCAGTCTGTAATGTTGCTGGCATCCCAATTGGCCCAGCCATCCGAAGATCTCAAACACGCAAACTGCTTTTGTGGTGTCGTGTGACACTCTCTGTGGCAGGAACTTCTGTGAGCTTCGTCAGACAGAACAGGACAAAGAGAAGAGAAATGGGACTGAAGAGGCCTAACTAAGTATAACTGGTAAACTTCAAATGACGTTCTTTATCACAGCAACTAAAGGATGAGTTGATCTGACTGAATCTCTGAGACTTCAGGACAGCAAACTATTTAAAAAGTATCTTCCTCACCCTACCAAATGCTGAGATGTAAAGCCTATCGCATGTCCACAGGTACATGCAAGAGGACACCGTAGCTATTCTGTGGTTATTTATAACTGGCTTCCTTGACCTACTGGAAGTTTTCACCTGACTTTTCCTTGATTGAACTTGAATTGATGTCTGCTTTAGGGTGATGAGATGTGGAAGTGTACGTCACTGTTGTGTATAAAATATATCTGCAAAGAAGAACAGCGTGCAGGAGGCTTTCAGGCCAGACTGCATCGTGCTTGCCTGGTTACGGGTCGAGAGCGGGTAGAATATTTCCGTGTTTGCTGACAGTATTTACGTGAAACTGTTGGCAGAGCTGGCTTTTACTGGGGCTTCCTTGTTGCCAGGTACTTTAGTACCACGGCTGCCCTCAGAGCCGGGCATGACACTGTTCACTATCAGAATCGAGAAGATTGGCCTGAAGGATGCCGGGCAGTGCATCGAGCCTTACATTACAGTCAGCGTAAAGGGTAACGAGTTGGGTTTTCCCTCTCTCACATTACTCCTAACTTACCGCACTTTTTTGAGGCATGTCTTGTATCTATGACAACTCATTTTAATTCACTTTACAATGAGGCCGAATTTCTGCAAGAAATATCGCTCCATACTAACCATTTCTGACGAGTTTACTGAAAATAGTTTCCTTTTCCTTTTTTGTAACTTGCACCCTTGCTTTGGAGATTGTCTGTCTTTTGTTCTCCTCAAATTTACTGTGACAGACTTTTCTTTGGCACACACGCTTTCATGAGCCCTGTCTGCGGTATGCGGCAGTTCCCTTCCTTGCCAGGAGTTGGTCTGTGTGTGTGTGTTTGTGTGTGACAAGGCCCCCGTTCTCTCCCTGTCCCCCATCTCCCCGCCCCAGCCTCTAGCTCGTCTTGCTCTTCTTCTGACTCTGGGGTGCTGACCAGAACCACACAGTCTCCCTGCCAAGGGCTTCTGCCCTGTGAAGGTTGTCAAGCCCTTACCTCCTTGGCTAAGCCCTGTGCTCTGTCTTCCCACCCTCCTGTCCCTGAGGCTTCTGACCCCAGGCCCATGGGAGCCCCAGGCCTTCAGGGCATCTTTAGGGGGGCAGGGAAGCATGTGCAGCCCAGCAGCATCCAGGCCACGTGGGCCCTGGGCACTACTGCCATACTGAGGAGGTGACGGGCATCTGCTTGGTACTTGCCCTCCCCGTCTCTGGTGCAGCAGTGCACTCATCCCAGAAGAGAGAGGCCAGCACTTACACTCTTTTGTTGCTGCTGAACATATTTCTACATCACTGAAGTTTTGTAGTTACTGGTTGTCAGCTCTGTAATCCCAGCTGCTAAGGAAGCTAAAGCACTAAAGGGTCACTTGAGCCCAGGGGTTTGAGACTTGCCTAGGAAAGACAGTGAAACCTGATGCTAAAATTTAAAAAAAACAAAACAAGTCATCCCATTATCCAGAAATAACTGCACAATACAAGTATATTACTTTAATCTGTAGTTGGGGGCAAATCAGGAAACATAGAGGCTGAAGTTAACTGGAGAGAACTTTTATCAGTCCTAGAAATAAGCACAGACCCATAGGAGAAAAAGGAGTTCAGCCATAGAGCAAACGTGACTGCACTGTGCTGCGATGCTGACTTCTGGCAGTGCCTCTCCGCTGAGACGGGCACTACAGGACGCGCTCGGCTCCATGCTCTCGGCTGGCTGTTGGCAGAGCCGTGTAACCCAGTTGGAAATGTGTGCTGTAGTACACAGGAGCACTTCATGGTGACGCAGTGCATGCTGAGCTGCTTTTGCACAGCTGCTGAATGGGCCAAGCCTGAAAGGGCAGAAATAGGCCATTGGGCTAACTTAGGTGCCCTGAGACACCTATGTAACGAACAGTATATGAACACCGAACAGTATATGAACACCGAGCAGTCTTGAAGGGAGACGGTATATTGATTAACTGGGATTCCTGCTCCTGGACATTACAACCTACACGATGAGTTAGTTTCCTTCTTGTGGTTTTAAATATTATGGTAACTGTAACCAGAACTTCGGTGGTGGACATGACTTTTTGTCTTTTTTTTTTTTTTTTTTTTTTGTCTTTTGGATACAGGGTCTCTCTATGCAGTTCAGGCTGACGTTGAGCTCACTTTGTAGCCTAGACTGGTCTCGAGCTCACAATGATCATCCTGCCTCAGCCTCCTGAGTGCTGGGATTACATTTGTGAGCCACCACGCCTGGCCATGACGTTTTACTTATTGATAAAAGGTTCTGTTGGAGGTTCTCATGTCCATTTTTGGTTCTTGACTTAAATATGACAAGGAAATTCTGAAAATGTTAATTTAAAGCTCTTTCCAAGTCATGCACGTGATCAGTATTAGAAATTAGGGCCAGAGCTACATTTTCACAAATCATGTGCACTGCAGGTTTTTGTTGCACCAGAAGTGGGGGGCTGTCCTGTAGGGGCATCAGCTCTTAACCATGCAGACCACGCTGTGCCTGCCTCCTGCTCTGCACTCATCGGGCCAGGCAGGGCGTGCTCCCTACTCCAGAAGTCTCCTGCCCCGACCCATGCAGTTTCCTGCACACCAGCAGCAAGTGGGAGTGTGTTCTCCAGGAGCCCCTGCAGGCCTCTGTGATTTCTTGACACTCCTCAGTGTGTGCCTGCGAGCGTCCCGACATAGAAACCTGTTTCTCTCTAGATCTGAACAGCATAGATTTGATGCCTGTGCAGGACACGCCTGTGGCTTCAAGAAAAGAGGACACATATGTCCATTTCAATGTGGACATCGAGCTCCAGAAGCATGTGGAGAAGCTGACCAAAGGTATCTGTGGGATGCGGGGTTTTGGCTGGCTGGCACACCCTGGTGTATGAGCACAGTGTGGTGTGGTGTGGCACAGGTCGTGCCTGGCACATCTGTGTCCCGTGGGTGTCAAGAGACACTGGCTTGAGAAAGTTGAATCTGTGAGTACTTTGTAAAAACATGGGAACTAGGAATCACATGATCCAGTTGTACAGTCACCCTGGAAATGCTCTTTGATATGAGATTTCATTGCCTTCTGCAGCGAGTGAGAAGTCTCTTCACGTTGACAGCGGGGCAGAGGGCACTTCTGCAGGTCCCCACAGCCTCACTGGCCTGTCCTGGGGCTGCTGGCCCTCGCAGGTCATTGTTGGGAAGCTGGGCGAAGACCGCACATGTTTCCGTGTTCAGTGTTCACTAGAGTGCAGTGCTGCTGCCGGCCAGCCTTGTGTTAACTTGGAAAAATTAGAGCGGGATAAATAGTTCGAATCCCAGCCTCAAAAATACTGAATTTGGAGATTTTGGTTTGAAGAGAAAGAGATGCTTCAGTGTAAGAAACTCTCTAATGCCTGTCGCCTGCAGTACACAGTGCTTTGGGTTCTGCTGAGCTGTGACAGCTTCGCGTTCCTCTTCTTGTATTTGATGTCTGTACTCAGTGACTGTGCTTACACAAGTAACTGACCTCGGGTCAGCCTGGCGCAGAGACCTGTGCTGTGCTCGTACAGCGAGGTGGTGCGGTCAGAAGCAGCGCTTGGACCCGGAAGTTTGGGGCTGCCACACTAGGATAGAGTCGCAGCACCACACCACACTGGACACAGGTCACTTTGTCAAATCCTGCCTGTCCCTCTGTTCCCTGTGGCAGTAAGTGAGAACGCTTGGATCCAGGAGGACAAGCGGGCCATGGTTCACCAGCTTGTGTGTTTCACCCCTCAGGTACAGCCGTCTTCTTTGAATTGAAGCACTACAAGCCCAAGAAGAGGTTCACCAGCACCAAGTGCTTCGCCTTCATGGAGATGGACGAGATCAAACCTGGACCGATTGTAATTGAACTGTAAGTGGCGTGTGGATGGCTGAGCGCTGCTCTCAGGAGTCCTCCCAGCCCTGCTTCCCTGTTGGATGATCTTGCAGATCAGTCACCAGGTATTTCTAAACAATGCTCTCTTTTATGGTTACAGCTACAAGAAGCCCACTGACTTTAAAAGAAAAAAATTACAGTTATTGACCAAGAAACCACTTTATCTTCACCTGCATCAAACTTTGCACGAGGACTGATCCTCACCTGAGTACCCTGGAACTCCTGTGAATGTTACCAGCCAGTAGCAAGCACCACAGCTCTGAGGATCTTCACTCTCTTGGGCAGGAAGTGGGCTGTGTCCACCCAGCAGGCCAGCGAGTACCTGGCACGGCTGCAGTTTGGAACCAAGCAAGTCCCCTTTGGACCTAGGCTTACTGTAGGTGCCGGACCATGCTCTTCTCTGTTGATTGTGTGATCCATAGTCTGTTTTATAATTCGCCTTGGATCCTACCCGGCTTCCCAGAACAGTGCAGCTATGGGAGGCGTGCTCATCTTCAGACCCCACACAGCAACAAGAGTGTGCTTGAGTTTACACACCTGCTCCCTGGGGCCGGGCTGTGTGGAGCGACCCCCCAAGTGGGACGGGCTGCTGGACTTCTGGCTCTGACATCCTGTGTGGAATAACATGCCTTGCCCAGATCAGTGTCCCCAAGTGGTGGCTGTGATTTCTTTTCCCAGAGAACCAGATTATTTTTCTGAAAGTGACATATTTTAATCGTGTTGATCACCTGTTTTACATCACATTGTTATTTTTTCTGAGGATTTTAGAGTTACCATTGGAAGCATCTCAGAATAAACACACCTTTTTAGATGAGTTTACAATGTCTTTTTTTTTCTTTTGTCTTTTTCTTTTTCTTTTTTATTGGTACCAGGGATTGAACTCACAACTGCCTGCTTTAAAGGCAGGCGCTTATGCCACTGAACTAAATCCCCAGCCCCTGGGTTTACAGTGTCTTAAGTCATGTCATCTGAAAAATAACTGTGTCTAGTACAAATGAGATACTGCAGGAATAAACGCTGTTTATCTGACAAGTGATTGTGAAACTTCAAACTTGCATACCTTTTCTTAGTGATGAGTATGGAAAATCAGCAGACGTTTTAAGTTTTTTTAATATTGCCATTTTAGGATTGCCATTGATTTCCTGTTTAGATATATTGGCATTTATCCATACGAAAATGCATACGTCGGCAGTGTTTTTACAGTTTTGACAATTTACATTACTTTTAAGAGGCATAAATGAAATTTTCATAGCACACATGAGGTAAATACTAGACACACAACATTGAAATTTTGATATTCACTATTTTAAACCCATGGTGCGTAAGGGTGCAGTGCTGGTTCCTGCCTGTTTTATGCTGGTGTCGGGACCCTGGTCACACGGTTCAGCATGTTTGCCTGCAACTGAGGTGACCGTGGCACACGTGCCTCAGAGCTCTGCTCCACTCTGGTGTCCGTGAGGCCACCTCCACTCACTGGGTGGGTGCTGACCAAATGGGAGGGCCTGACAGAATGCTTAGCCCACTTCAGCCTTGCCTTTCATCTTGCCTGGATAAAAGGCAACCACCACAGTGATTCAGTCACAGTATCTCCAGGGCATGAACAACTGGCCTTAATAAGTTGATTTTTTCCACTCAGTTCTTAAACTCTCAAGTGTCTGATCCCCAGGCTGTGGGCTCCTCAGGGTGGGGCGAGAGCCATCCCTGTTGTCTCCACACGCCCTCTGAGGAGCATGGTGCTGTCTCTGCCCTGTGGGGTCCTCACTTCCTTTGGTTTGATGTTGCTGAGACCTAAAAACAAAAGCTTGGAAACCCACTATTAAAATGTAGCCCGATGGCCGTGTCATGCTCCTTCATTGCGGGCTGCAAGGCACAGTGCAGGGCTGGTTCCTGCACAGCTGAACATGCAGGGTGGGGCGGGGCAGCATGTGCTCAGCAGAGCTGGGGTGCAGACAGCGAGGTGGCAGAAGGTGAGCACGCACCACTGGGCACCGGAACTGGCGCTCCAGCGGGGCAGCCAGCCCAGCGTGCACCCTCAGCGAGGCAAGGTAGCAGGGAATCCCAGGAGCAGCCAGGAACTGACCTCTCAGGTCCTGAGGAGGCACTGCTGAGGGTGGGTTGCTTGGCCCGCTGGGCCTTGCCTACCCTGGCATCCTTGGCCACATGGGGGCACAGTGGGTGAAGGCGGCTATGAGGACAGGCCGGCCCTGACTGCTGGGCCTTCTGGGACCTCCAGAGCTGGCTGCCAGTGGGAGGCAGGATGAAGTACCCATAGGGCTTTGCACAGGAGGGTAATTCCGAATAAAAATGTAGATTTACCCCAATTGATATGTTTTGAAAAAAAATTTCTGTGCCTGCTTCCCGGTCACACACTATTTATAGGCTATCTAGAAGTGGAAGTGGACTTCTGTGTCCTGAAGAGGTTGACAGATCACATTCAGAGGGCGCATTGGTGATTCTGTGCCGCTGTGCTCGGGTTGAAGACGGCCAAAGGTGCTGCTGGCGTCTGTGGTCTCTTGACAGGAATTGAGATGGAGGCTGGTGGATGGCATTCTTTTCCTGAAGGATTCCTTTGCCGCCTTCGAGCTGAGTCTTCCTGACTTCAGGGGCCTCAGCTTTCCAAGTACTATCTCAGGCAGTGTGAATGTATGTGCATGTGTGTACAGGAGGCAGAGGTCTGTATCACACAGAGACAGCTGTGAGGTGCGCTCTGGGCTCCCCAAGGTCATCCCAAAACGAAGGGAAAGGAGAGTGTCGCAGTAAACCAAAGCTCAAGGAGCCTTGTATAATCCCAGCTTCCCCTGGAGCCTAAGCTTAACATTAACTGTGTGGTGTACACTACTGTGCTCCACAAGCGTTTTGGATTAGAAATATTTTTTTTGAGATAGTGTGTCATTATATAGTTTAAGCTGGTGTAGACTCCGTGTGGTAGCATAGGCTGGCCTTGAACTCACTCCTGCCTCAGCTTCCTGAGTGCTGGGATTACAGGCATGTGCCACCACATGCAGCTTAGATCTTTTTTTAAACTCTCGGAAAAACCAACAGCAGGAGAAACATTGGAGACCTTGGTTCCCCACACGCGGCATGGCCATCAAGTGCCACTGGGGAACCAGACAGAAAATAGCACCCTGTGCAGGTGGAGGGTTCACTGTGAGTTGCAAACAAACATAAATTTCTTTTGTTTACAAAAAGCGCCTCCTGGGCCGGGGATTTAGCTCAGTGGATAAGCCTACCTGGCAAGCAGGAGATTGAGATTTTGGTCCCCTGGTACCAAAAAAAAAAAAAAAAAAAAAAAAAAAAAAAAAGTGCCTGCTATCATTAGAGATCAGATGGAAAGATTCTCACCCTTCCATTTTGACATGAAAATAAGTGTCTGAAGCAAAAAGTAAAAGCAGTATGTTAGTGTTTTGTTTTTTCTTTTTCTCTTTAGTATATTTTTTATAGCTCAGAAGCAAGGCTTTGAGCATCTTATGGCCTAAATTTGGAATCAGTTCACTATCTGATTAGTTGTAAGTTATTTTCTAGGCTTGTTCACATGTCAGAAAACAAACCAGTAAAATTGCTTCAGAAAGCTCTTTTAAAAATTACTGTGCTTAGTGTTTGGAGAGCAAAGCCTCAGAATTGTGCAGACAGTGTAGTGACAGGTCCCTGAATGGTGTGGCAGGCCCACTTGCAGCTTCGGAGACGTCAGGGGTTGATGCTGACACCAACCTTGGGGCAGGACCTGCCAGGGCAGAATGGAGCTCAGCCCACAGCTGCGCAGCTGACCGCAAGCAGGGTAGAAGCCTCATGCTCCTCAATCACTTTTTCTCAGGTTATGTTATTATATGCTTCCCATTTGTGGTTCCTGTTCCTTGAAAGTCAGTTGTAGGATATGAGAAAGAGAAGACATGCATGTTACTTTTACAATCATGACACAACTTTACTTTTGTTATACTCCTTAATGCAATCACAGTAAAAGGAAATTAATAGAGCCTGAGGTCAAACGATTGTTGTTTCCATTGTAAACTCTCACTCTTGTGCCCAGCAGTCACCGGTGGGGTCAGGGGTCACGGGCTTCCCCTGGAGTGATGCAGCCTGCAAGCCGTGGCACCTCCAGTCCAGGGAGCCAGAGTTCCAACAGCCCTCACAGCAAGCAGTGGGCCAGTGGAGGCGGGGAGTAGTAACAAACAAGTTTTTATTAGCTACTACTACAAAGGACTTCAGCGGAACAGGAGTGGATAAGGGGTTAAGAGGGCAATTTTTAGAGAGGAAGATGAGTCTTCTGAAATGTTTGGCTTCCAAGCCAAAAAAAAAGCTTGGCCTTCTGAGTGGAGCCATTAAGGGCTCTGCCTCAGAGCCTGGGCAGGTTCCCGGCTGCTTGGAGGTGAGGCTGGGGCCTCTCTGGGCCCTGAGAGCTGGGGCTCACCTGCGGCAGGCGGCAGTGGGTAGTCCTGGGGCCCAGCAGGTGGTGGTGGGTAGTCCTGGGGCCCGGCAGGCGGTGGTGGGTAGTCCTGGGGCCTGGCAGGCGGTGGTGGGTAGTCCTGGGGCCCAGGAGGCGGCGGTGGGTAGTCCTGGGGCCCGGCAGGCGTTGGTGGGTAGTCCTGGGGCCCGGCAGGCGGCGGTGGGTAGTCCTGGGGCCCGGCAGGCGGCGGTGGGTAGTCCTGGGGCCCGGCAGGCGGCGGTGGGTAGTCCTGGGGCCCGGCAGGCGGCGGTGGGTAGTCCTGGGGCCCGGCAGGCGGCGGTGGGTAGTCCTGGGGCCCGGCAGGCATTGGTGGGTAGTCCTGGGGCCCGGCAGGCGTTGGTGGGTAGTCCTGGGGCCCGGCAGGCGGCGGTGGGTAGTCCTGGGGCCCGGCAGGCGGCGGTGGGTAGTCCTGGGGCCTGGCAGGCGGTGGTGGGTAGTCCTGGGGCCTGGCAGGCAGTGGTGGGTAGTCCTGGGGCCCAGCGGGTGGTGGTGGCATTCGAGGAACAGGAATGAAATACTCTCGGGGGCTGAGCGGGCCTGGAGGCCTGAATGGCACAGGTCCCGGCAAGAACACTCGGGGGTGCAGTGGCAGGTCGTGGCGTGTACTCTCTTAAGCCCAGTGGTGGGCCCATGCGTGGGACTGGAAAGCAAAAGGGACACACAGACAAGTCCTGAGGAGCAACCCAGGTCTGCTCAAAGCGTTTCCCTTCCCCTGAGCCAGGAAGCCGAGTGATGCACTGGACTTCACAGATAAGGAAAACTGAGGCTTAGTACGGCTCAACCACAGCCTGACCCTCCGTTCTCCCAGTGCCGGCCACCTGTGGCGTCCCGGGTGACCACCCTGGTGGGACTGGCACTTCGGCTCTGCGGGAAGGGCCCTTCTGGTCCAAGCAGCTGTGGAGGCTGCACTGGGCTCAGAGTGCTGGGCCTCGTGCTGCAAGTCTGGAGGGCTGCAGCTGCCGATGAGGACAGGAGAGGAGAGGACAGGGTAGGCAGTGGTGCCGGCCCAAGTGTCCTACCGTACCGAGTGGTGGCGGTGGCCTAGGAGACATCGGCCGAGGCCCGAAGGGCCTGCAGAGCGGTGGTGGCGGTGGCGACCCATAGCCCACAGGGGGGGGCGGTAATGGGGCCTCCCAGGAACGGGGGCCCTGGATAGGCTGGAGGCCCCTTCACGGCCATGCTCACCTGCGAACAGAAGCAGGCCCAGTTTTGGATCGGCAGTGACACTGGGTGCCCATCCCGAGAGGAGTAAAGGGATCCCGGGACCCTGCCGGCCCCCTCGTGAGCAGCACGCCATGCAGCGAGCATGGCCACCACGCTGTCCCCACTCGCGTGCAGAGAGACGAGCTCTGGAGGTGCCAGCGGGGCGCTGCGCCAGCTCGCTGCACTCCTACCAGCACGAGCGTGGCCCTGGGCACGACAGGGGCAACACAAGGGCTCCCAGGGTCCCGGGGTCCCTGGGGAGAACAGGGAGCTGCCTCAGCCAGTGACACTGCACAGGGAGGGGCTGGCAGAGGTGCCTGTGCCTGGGCTACCTGGAAGGCAGGCCAGCGAGCTCTGACCATCGCAGGCGGCCCCATGCGGTGCGAAGGCTGCCGAGGCGGCAGGTCAGGACCCAGGAGGCACAGCAGCCTGGGCCGCCCAGGCCGGATTCACGGGTCCCTGGAACCGGCTTCCCACTCCCAGCAGAGCCCACGCCCACCTCATTCCGATCATTGCAAGGGGTCTGCCTAGCACACACCCTGAGGACCCTCCCAGCTGCTCCCAAAAATCAAGAGCACGCGAGTGTGGCAACGCACACTGGTCATCCCGCACTCGGGAGGCTGAGGCGGGAGGACTGCTAGGGAACTGCAGGTGGGCTCTGGGTACTGTGAACACGGTCAAGTTCAGCTCGAGCTGCATAAGGAAACCCTGACTCAAAATAAGTACCAAACAAAATACTCAAGACAGGGGCGTGAGGTGTGCTTTGCCCCAGCACTCAGCACACGGTGCGAGCCTTAGTGAAGGCCCGAGTCAGATGGTGACCCAGTCAGCAGGGTCCCACGCCCAGGCCAGTTAGAGAACAGAGGGGAAACCGAGGGCGCATGGAGCAGCGCGGGCGCAGGCACAGGTCACCTTGCCCGTTGTCCATGTCCTTCGCCGGGGAGGAGCCGCGGGAGCTGCTGTTGGCCACGAGGCCAGGGCCGGGATCTGGGGGCAGAGATGGCACTCAGAGGACTTTCCCAGGACGAGGACGGGGACGAGGACGAGGAGGAGGACGAGGACGAGGACTACGACCGGAAGAGGCCACGGGCGCGCCCTCGGAAGTGCCCTCGGGAACACTGCAGAGCCCCGCGGACTGGCCCTGGAGGGAGCAGAGGCCTGGCTGTCTCTGACAGGCAGCTGCAAAGCCCGTGGGAGGCGGGAGGCCAGGGAGCCCTCCCGGAGCCAGAGGCGCCCGGCTCACTGAGCAGGCGTCAAGTGGGGGTGGGGTGGGGGTGGGGGCGGGGGTCGAAGGAGGCCTCTGAGCATGCGCGGCCTCCATCTGGTCAGCACTTCGCGGACCTGGGGAGCTGGGAAGGCTGCGCTGCGGCAGCCCCAGCCAGAGGCGGAGGCTGCTTTAGGTCTCAGGCTGTGGAGGAGGAAAACAGGGACGCGGAAGACTGAGCCCGCACTCGGCAGCCATGCGCTTTGGTAGCAGCACACGGAACCAGCAACACGCGGGCCTGCCTAGCTCGGGAGCGGCCCCTGGTGGCCCGGAGGTGAGTGGTGAAGAAAGTGCGCCCACTCATTGAACACTGCAGAGAGGGAGTGGGCGACACCGCGGCCCTGGGAGTGACCGGGTGGGCGACGGCTCCCAGGACCCTGCTCCTGCACTGCAATCGAGGTGGACCTGCACAGTGCCCAGGGCTAAGTGGAAACCTGAGCCGGGAGTGCCCGGGCTTTGTACCAGAGCTCAGGGAACCATGCCCGGGGCAAGGCAGCACGGTGTCCCTGAGTCCGGGCCGCGAGGCCCCGGAGAGGCTCACCGAAGTCGGCCCTGGGAATGTCTGCGAAGTTCAGGCTCGCAGTGGACAGCCATCCAGGGGGCTCTGCCCCTGGGGGCGGGGAGCACTCACCGCCACTCACAGGGGACGGGCCAAAGGAGCTGTTCTGGCTCAGGGGACCTGCGGAGACAACACACGTGCTGGTTACCAGTTCTCGCAGTGGCTAAGATCCCCGAGTCGCACTCAGAAGGACAGAGCGCCCACCTCTGTGGGGGCCGTTCTGCACTCCAGGCCAGTCCGGCATCCGCTTAATGATCCCAGGCTCCTCTTGAAGCATATCCATCTTCTGGGTAATCTCCACCAGCCTGCACACAGACAGAGTAGGGCTGGGGATGACCACAGCCACCCTGAGTGGGCTGAAACATGGGCGCCACACATCGCGCCACGCGCTGCTAACCTCTGCCGCAGGTTGGCGGCCTGCCGCTTCTCCTCTGCAATCAGGAGCTCTGCATTGCGGGCTTTGAGCTGTGGAGACAGAGGGGCCAGCTCAGCACAGGGGCTGAGTGAAGCTGGAGAGGGCGAGGCGAGGAGGAGGCTCTCACCCAGTTCTCGTGGGCTTTTTTCTCCTGAGTAGCAAGCTGCAAGAGAACAGGGCAAGACACAGGTTGAGGGACCAGTCACGGGGCTGCAGCTCTCCATGACGTCTGTGTGGGGGAATTAACGGATGCTGTCACCACAGCGCACTCTATTCCTTGCCTAGTTTTTAAATGAGCTCTCCGTTTTCTCTAATTCTGCTTCCACTTCACAGATTCTCCGCCTAAAAATAATACTTAGCAGTTAGAATCAAATAAATTCTGAAACAATCTGACCATGTCTGACCTTTAAAGACTTAATCATATAGAAACATTTCATAACGTGATGAGTGCAGTGTGAACCTCAGTTTCCTGATTTTTCATTTAATGCCTAGAGATTATAAGTTGACAACTTGTCAATTTCCTTAACTGTCCTTGAATAACATTCTCAAAATAATCTGGCTAAGGGTACCTTCCCCATAAAGGTTTTCCCCTCAGGGGCTGGGGATTTAGCTCAGCGGCATAAGCACCTGCCTTGCAAGCGGGCAGTCATGAGTTTGATCCCTGGTACCGATAAAAAAAAAAAAAAAAAAAGGTTTTCCCCTCAAATTATAGCCACAAGAAATGACTCAAAATGCTGTCCCTGGTCTGTCGGAGCACCGAGAGTCTGGTGGGTGTGGACATGTGACAGAAGCAGGCCGCTTTCCTAAAAATGGGCACAGGACACATCTGTAAAGGAGCTTCGCTGTTAACAAGCTTCTGTCTGTTAATGTAGAACCCCTCCCTGTGTGAGTTAAATATATTCCATTCTTGGACTGCTCATGTGCTTCTGTGCCCATCTCTTCTATGTAACAAAGCAACTCAGCCCAGTTCCTGTCTCAGACGCCACACTCACTTGTAGATTTTCACTTCCTCTGTGGCCGGCACCACCTTCTCATCCACAGCCCACAGCGCCTGCTCTCGATGCTGCTGTGCAAATTCCTCCTGACTCAATTTCCTAGGAAAAAGGCAGCTGCCAGGGGCAAGCTCGGCCCACAGGCCACTTCCCCACCCAGCAGTAGGCACAGGGTCTCAGGAGGGAAGTCAAGCTCCAGGCTCTGGGCCATTTGCTTGTGTTCTTATATTCTCTCACCTCTCCTTGTAATTGTCTAATCGGCAAACAGAACAAGCTAACAGCACAGTATGCTCCAGGCTCTAGCTGCCTGTGTGGGAGATGAGTGTACCCCGAGGGAAGCCAGGATTGTCCAGCAGAGCTGCTGGGAAAGCAATAGGCGGAGTCCTCCTCGCACCCCCCCCCCGCCCCCATGCTGTCTGGGAAGAGCTGTTCCTCTAGACCTAGGCCGTGATAAGCACACAAGCAAGGCCAAATGGGTGGACAGGAGCCTGTGGCCCCAGCCAGAAAGCGAAATGTGGGCCCCAGAGGCCAGTGCTGCCCTCCTTCAACCCACACATGAAGGACAATGCCAAAGACGCTAAACTGAGCCCTCGACAAATCCCTAGGCTTTAAGAAACAAGCAGTGGAGCTGAGGCTACAGAGGCAGGGACGCTGGGCCCAACTGCTAGCTGGATGATGGTGACGGCGGACAGGCAGGAGCAGCCTCAGGTCGCCATCACAGGAAACCAGCAGCACCTGGGCCCCTAGTTTCCTCTATGATCACTGCACATCGAAGCTGCTAGGCAATCAGAAGTGACAGGAATGGCCAGCATGAGACACTGGTCAAAATCTCTCGGACTCACTTCTGCAGCTCCATCTCATTCTGTTGGGACAGCTCCTTCAGGATCTCCACCTTCTGCTGCAGCATGCTAAACTCCTTCTCCAGCCGGGCCTTGTCTGCCTGCACCGTGCCGCAGTCCTCACCCAGCTTCATGATCTGGTCTGGGAGGTGAGACACATCACCAAGGGCACCGCCAAAGACACAGAGCCAGGCTCCCAGCATCCCTGCCTCATTCATGCCGGCACTCAGCCTGACCACCATGCAGTCAGGGACCTACCTTCCAAATCACATTTGGCAGACAGGGAGGCTCTCAGCTTCACCTGCAGGAGTTTGAGGTCCTTCTGAAGTACGGATATTGCGGGATGTGTCTGAAAATTGTGAGGGAGAGGCACAGGCTTGAAAGTGAGGCACAGTCAGGACTCACGGGCCCCTGGGGGACTCTGTGAAGGGACCCACCCGGGAGACATCCATCAGCTGGTGCATGTGAGTCTTCATCTATCCTCCCCACTTACAAAGAGAACAAGTGTGGCTGTGTCTTCCTGTGCTGTTTCTAACACTGTTGTCTTAACTTCCACAAAACTAAACTAATGCTCATCAAACACTGTAAAGAAAAACAATTCACCAACAGAACTGACACACTGACTTTTATGACAACTGCACCCTTAGATTTTGTGAGCTCCTGCCAAGACAGCATGCCACCTGGGCTGTGGCTGAGCAAGCCTAGCTCTGCCACATACATGATGGTCTAGGGGAAGCTGGCCGGCGTGGGTCCAGACTCGCACCCTGAGCACCTCTGCAGCTGGGGCGGTACCCTGACCACTTTCCTCATCTCAGACCCTGCTGCTCTCCAGCTTCTGCCCTCACAGCCTGGGCTGTGGCTCCCCCATCCCCACACTCTAGGTGACCCTGGCCAAGTGCCTGAGAACCACAGAACAGCAGAGGCCGTGAGTGCGGACCAGAGCATCATCTCCAGGAAGCTGAGAAGGTTTCTTCTCTGGCACAGAGGCCGACACAAAGGCAAAAGGCTCCAGCGTACACATCCGGTTCTCAAGGGGTGGAAAAGCAGCTTTCCCCGCTTGCCTGCTGCACCCCAGTGACCCAGGCATAAGTACAAATTATTAAGATGTTGGGAGCCATTGAAGCTGGAAACCGACCACACGTGCAGGGCCAGGGCATGGCTGGCCCAAGAACAAAGAGTCCCTGGGGCTGCCATGTGAAGAAGCTGCCTCAGCCCAGAGAACACCAAGCCCCAAGACAATCTGAACAGTGGGCTGCTAGGACAACAGGGTGTCACATGACATTAAGCTGCGAAAAGGTATAAATAAATGCCCCTGCAGTGAGGGGCCAGTTCCTTTCTTCCCATCAGGAGGGTAAGGGCTCCACCTGACCCCAGATTTGTCTGTCTATTTTCTCATCCTCTTGTGGTCCTTCACACTAAGAACCTAAAGAGCTGCATGCATCAGTCTGGGCAAGAAGAAACAGCTGAGAAGCAGTATCCATGTATGGAATTAAAGACAAAAATGCTTAGGAGACTGAGGTAGAATATTTGCTGTGGGATTGAGGCCAGTGTGGGTTACACAGTGAGTTCAAGGCCGGCCACTACATAGAGACCTTGTCTAAAGTAACAATAAAGAGAAGAAGACAAAAAAGAGCCCTTGAAGGGCTGGGGATTTAGCTCAGTGGCACAAGCACCTGCCTGGTGAGTGCATGGTCATGAGTTAGATCCCTGGTTTAAAAAAATAAGGCCCTTGGGCTAGGGCCGGTCTTACCTCCCACTTCTCCATTGGCTAATTCACCTGGCTCACATCTGCCTGGACCTGGACCCTCAGATTCCGATCCCCTCTCCTCCAACCTATTCAGCTGCGTGATGCAGTTGGTCAGAGCCTAGCAGAGAAGCTAGCGGCAGTTAAGAGCCTCTCCATCCTCACAGTGGGTTTGTTTCCCAAGTGTGTTCACAAACAGGCTGGGCCGGCCGGGGTAACTTACACCAATGCTATCATCCTTATCAGCGAGAGTGGCTTCCAGATCCCTCTGAGACTTCTCCAACGTCCTGATTCACTCGCTGAGTTCAGCGTTCAACTTCTGGTCTTCAACTTCCTGCTGTAGCTGAAAGTCACATGCAAGGGTCCCTGTGGACTGGGGATTCCACAGAGGCACATGACTATGCAAGTGGGATGGGGAAGCAGGAGTCGTGTCCCTCCTTGTCCCATCGCAGAGGCTAAGACTTGGTTCAGGACCACAGAGCGTGGCTTCCACCCTGAGCTGTCAAGGAAGCTGACCCCATCCATCAAGTCCTTCTGAAAAATGCCTGCTGACTCAAATGCCTGACTTCCAGATGGCACACGTGGACATGTACTGTTGGGGTTTAACATATTCCCACTGGCATGCACCACTGCAGGGCATGCGGGACTGTCCATATCACCTAATGGGACTATCCTGTGTGTTCCCCTAGCAGGAACATAACCCATTCAAATGGAAGCTTCCAGCAGCTAGCCGTGGGATTTCTGGCCTCAGTGTGTGTGTGTTGATCACAGATCTCTGATCTAACCTTCCTATGGCCAATGTGAGGCAGTAACTGTTAGAGGAGGCTTAGCAAAGGCTTAGCTTAAATCTGAGGTTTAAAAAGCCAACCCCTGGCCTTGCTGAGGCCAAAGTAATGACTGGTATCTAACAAGACAAGGGCCAAGAGCTGCCATCAATTTACAGAACCGAAAATCTACGAGCAACACAAAAGGCACCTGTGCCCTCAATAATGTGCAAGCGGGGAGGACAGACTCGATGCTCCCCAGCTTGCTGCAGGGGCCTGCATAAGCAGCTCCTCATGAGAAAAGATGACAGAGCTAAAGTCGCTGGGTTTTGCACCCACTCTGACCAAACATTTACAAAATCTGCACTTTCTTCTTCTTCAGCCTTGCGTTTTCTTCCTGAACCTGGTGGCACTCAGACTTCACCTTCTCCTCACTCAACTTGCCTTCATTCAGGCCGCCTGAACCTAATGCAGAACACGACTGTTCATGAGCCAAGCCAGGGAGGGGCCCCCAGCCCTGCCCCTCAATCATGCACAGCCTCTGCCTTCCACGGCTCTCAGCACTCGTCAGGTCACCACTGCTCAATACAGCTGAGTCGCGACACTGAGACCGGCAGGGAGTGTGGGCAGCCTTACCTTGGAAAATTCTGAGGCATTCATTGAAATAACCTCCTTTACCTTCTCCACAGATTTCTCATTTTCCAGTATCTGCCACGGAAGCAGGGAACACACAGAATGCATTAGGACTATGGGAGAAACACTGATACATAAGCTAAGGAACAAAAACATTACTACAAGGTACCCCAAACTATCCACTATGTTTTAGGTAAAATCGGGATTAAACGTGATCTGGGGAAAAAATCAGCTTAAAGAGCTGAGAGAAAAAACCAAAGTCAAGAGTTTCATGGCACCCTCAAGCTTCGAGGTGACCACACAACATAGTATAAAGAAATGTTCAAGCAAACCACGGAAAATGAACAGCTTTTTTCTGGTGGCAGGAAAACAAGCCCCAAAAGGGCTGGAGATTTAGCTCAGCAGCATTAAATGCCTGCCCGCCAAGCACGGGGTCATGAGTTCGGCCCCTGCCACCAAAAAGAAAAAGAAAAAAAAAAAGCTCCAAGATCACTTTAAACATGTTCTTGTCTGAATTAAAAATGGTAAGAATGCTGGGTATGGTGGACTCCTGTAATCCCAGCACTCAGGAGGCTGAGGCAGGAGAGGAGAGTTTAAGGCCAGCCTAGGCTATAAGGTGAGTTCACAGCCAGCCTGAACTGCATAACAGAACCCAGTCTCAAAAAGACAACCCAAAACAAAACAACAGAAAACAAAGTGTTTCTGGGGGAATAGAAAAATCTCATGTGCCAAATCTCTCAATATTTATGACAATACTGGCTCAAGGGGTGACCCTAACCGACCGTTCTTTTAACTGCAGGTTGTGTGTCATAACTTCCTGCCAAAGGGCGTGGTGCACAAAGGACTGAAAATGGGCGATTCACCAGGTGTGTGCTGAGCAAAGGACCAGGCCACACAGGAGGCGGGAAGCATGAGAACTCTCCTCACTACATTTCCGCTTAGGGGATTTTCAGACTATTCGAAAGGCACAGAGTTCACTGTGAAATAAAACCACTTTACACAGACTACTCAACTGGACCAGTTTCTTAGTGACTGTGTGTGTTCTGGAGGACACAGCTATGAAATTATCCAAGATTCAGGATCAAAACACTTCCCATGTCTATAAAAACATCCTAATGGGTTAGTACTAAAAATCTCACAAAATGGGTACAGGCATGTTCAGTTCTGTTATTCCTAGTCTTATGGAGTTAACAGCATGGGAATAGCTCAACTAATTTATGAAATAGCTAAAAATACACCTGTAGTAACACACAGCAGCAGAACTCACCAAATCCTGACTTTTCATGTTGTGCTTCCTCTGAGATTCTAACATATCACCAAGAGTTTTGGCCATATCCAGAAATTCATTGCTTTCTTCAAGCAGTTTGATTTTATCCTACAAGAAAAGAGATTAAAAGTAACAATACACATTAATGCTTGCTTTTGTTTTTAGACTATAATCCCAAAAAGAGAAGGACTTTTACCTTGTATTTAATTGCTTCATCAGAGAGAATCATATTTTGATTCTTGGTCTCCTGAATAAGCCTGTTCAATTCCTTGATCTATGGAAAAAACACATTCAGAACTAAGTAGCAGAAGTCACTGTGCTAGTAAAACCTTGTTCCAAAGAAGCAAGCAGAGCGTTCGCTTTACACATGATGGTGCGTAAGATCTGGAGGGCTCAGAGGAAAAGATGAAGCGAGAACACAGGCCTTCAAAATACCATAATAACCGAGCTACACCACAGACACGCTAGAGGAGGGCCCGCGAAACAGATTCTACCTTCTGTTCATAACTTGACAATTTTTCTGCAAGTTCTGCATTGTCCTTTATGGTAGTCTTCACCTGCTCGGCAGTCTGCTGTTCAGTGACTAAAAAGAGGAAAAAGCCAGGTTATTAGGAGCACTAAATGGAACTGAGCTGCACAGTGTCTCAGCAGCAAGGACACCTGTGAGGCTCTGTGAGAGACAGGGCTTAGCACAGCTACCTGCCTTTCCAGAGAGACCCGCAGCTAACAGCAACAGTGCACAGGACACTGTTAAACTTTAAGAAAACTATAGTAACACTTGTTTTGAGGATATATCAATTACTGCAAAGGCAGGAGATACAGTAAAATGTTACACAGTTGGAGAGGCTCCTTTCACAAAAGGCACTTGTTCTCTGAAAACGGATCACTTCAAATGAATGTCATTTGCTAAGAGAAATAGAAACTTCAGGCTCCGGATCTACACTGCTGTCTCTCGAGCTCCTGTGCCGATAAACCTATAGGGGCTGAGGTGTCCCTAGCACAGACACACTGTCCTCTCTCCACACCTGTGTGGTCCAGCCACGCTCGGTCTGCTCCAAGTAAGCAGTCACCCCTAGCCCCACATCTCCTACCTCAGCCAGTACCATCACCTTCCCCACTATACCATGGTTAGTAGCAACAGTAAAATGTGGAGGAGTTATTAAGTCAAATCAGACACTCACTGTCTCTCCTAGCCTGCCTAAAAGTCCTCCCAAACACCAACGAGAAGAGATTTACCTTGGTATATTCTCTGCTTCCCCTAGAAGAGAAAGAGAGAAATTTGATGTCAAACATTTGATTAAAAGGAATGCATAGCTCCTAACACAAGTCAGGATCATAACCAAGTGAAAATTTAGTAACTTTAGTTCAGGATAAACCCATACAATTAAAAATGTATTATAAATAGCCTCTGATACAGAGGAACAGTAAGGGGCGTGTCTTACTTCATAGCCACACACAAGCTTATGTGCCAGGACCGAGTGAATACCAGGCTTATGAGATGAGCATTTGGCTTCAACAGTGAAATGCTTGTTTTTATAATACACACATTATTGATTTACTTACTCAGAATTACTTGACAATCCCAAAAGCAAGCATGCAGTCGAGAAACGGGTGACCATATGGAAGACTGGAGAGCGAGATTACCAGCATAACCTTTGCACTAAGATACGCCTCTCTCACCCACTGGAAGACACCTCAGAAACCCTATTTCAAGTGATCTATTGACTCAATTAAGAAATAATCTAATACACTTCATCATCTGATTTCCCCAGACCACAAAAACAGTAATAAATCTAAGCAGAAGGGAAGACACCAGAAGAACACAGAGAAATGACAGCTAATGGCTTCCAGGTAGAGCACAGGCCCAGTTCTTTCTCCCAGCGCCTTCTGGGGTCATCAATCCTAAACTGTAACTAATTAAATACCACAGCAGTGATCACTGCACTTCTCTGTAACACAGACTCTGTCTTCTCCTTCCGAGTGCTATAAACAGTACAGGACAGCAGAGCACAGTGGCCAGCTTGGGGGGGGGGGGCGACTGTCCTCTCCAGGATCAGGAGTGGGCCTCAGAGCCATGTGACCTCAGGGAGTGGGAGGAAGTGAGCCCAGGGACAGGGTGTGAAGCTGCAGGGCTGAGCCTGAGAGCCCTGCTGGGTAGCAGCTGCAGGGGAACCAAAGGAGAGGAGCAGGGGAAACAGCACCTTTTCACCCCCAAACACTTCCGCTTACCCTTCCAGGCGTGCTTTCATCCAAGAAGCTGTTCGGGGAGATTCGAGAAGTCCTCACAGGAATCTTTCATAGGCGCTGTTTTGGGGTTGTTTTTGGTGGTACCTGGGACAGGGCCTTCACAATGAACTACATTCTCAGCCTTCCCATTATTCTTGAGACAGGCTCTTGCTAAGTGACCAAGTTGCCCAGGCTGGGCTCAAACTTGCACTTCTCCTGTCTCAGCCTCCCTCTCCACCAGGGCTGCAGGAATACACACACCACTTGCCTGATCTTGCCTGGACGTTTCTACCATCTTACTGTATTTCTTGCCCTGTATGTTTCTACAGCACAGTTCATCAGTACCTCACGGTCTGTTTCCCCTTTTCCCACTTCACATTAAATCGTGAACACCTTCTTTGCCCCCTGCCTTTGAAATACATACAGCAGCCTAATATTCTGTTCTGTGGATATAAACAAGATGAAACATGATTATTTCCTAATATAGATCATTTAGGTTTCACCAAGTTATTACTCTATTAAATACTACATCTAATACCTTTGTATAAAATCTTAACATGTAATTTATTTCTTTAAGATCATTTACTGATGTTATCATACCATATAAAAGCAATTTATATTTCTTATCCTGTTTTGTATCCCACTTTAAAGACTTATGATATATAGAATTATTAAACTGCTTTTCAGGATGGCTGTACGAGTCACCAACTCTACTAACAAGTGGATATGGTTAGCTTGCTCTTAAGTCTTTGACAGTACCAAGATTAAATTATTTCAGAAAACTAACTTGAATTATAACCACTGATTTGTTTATGTTAATAACTGAAAGGGCCAATGATAATAGAATCCTCAATATATTCAGAAGTCAAAGAAAAAGTTAATTCACTCACTGCAAGAATATTCCTCCATAAGAAAAAGGCAAGCATAAGGATTCCAACACAGGTAGTGAGCAACACAGGCTCCAGGGGAGCCCATAAAAGTCTCCAGGCCTGGGCTGGAGATCCTCAGGAAACGTACCAACCAGCCGAAAAGAAAGGGCACAAATAACGGAAACGTTAGGCGGAGCAATCACAAAGTATCATCACAGATACTCTCAATCTACTCTCAATAGTCTCCAACTTCCAGGTGCCCTGAAGAAACTTCCGGAAAGGGGATACAGGCAGGCTCGCATTCTTGTCCCGTATGTGGAGTCTCTAAACTTAGGGAGTGAGTTGAGCCTATTTCCCACTTGGCCAACAGGCCCTTCTTCATGGCGGTGTCTCATGCATGGCCCAGTTCATGCTTAGGTGAGCTGTTTTCTATTACTGCACACGCGCGCGTGCACACACACTCACACACACACACACACACACACACACACCCCACATTGTAAATACATGATAGAAGCCATCGGTTTGTGCATCTGCAAACAAAAGCACTATGACAATGATCGCCACAAATCAGGCATCACTCCTCCAGGATGCTGCGTCTCAATTCGCTGCACCCTCACGAAACCATCTGTGCGAGGAAACAGGTGGGCGTGAACGTGGCTCCCAAGGCGATGGCTGGCTTCAGCCCATGCCGCTTCCTCAGGACAGCCCGGCCCTCTGCAGTCCACACCACGCTCCTGCCCGTCGGGTATGGCTCTTCCGAAGGGACCTCCCCACCGGCCCACCGGCAGCGACCCGCGCCCTCGCCCGACCCTGGTTCCCCCGCCTCACCTCCAGTACCAGGGATACGAAGGCCGTGTACAGCTTCGACAGGGGCTTCAGCAGCTCGGGGTTGCCTGGAGACACGAAGACCGCGGCCACAGTGGCTGACACCGCGTCCATCTCAAAGGACTGCTCCCTGCGGACCCGGCCGGACCGGGCAGGACCTGGCCGGACCCGGCAATGGCAAAGAAGTCTTTCCCAGTGGCAGTGGCAGCAGAGGGCGGGAACGCAAGCTACACCTTCCGCTTCGTGCTGCGCTATGAACCATAAACACAGGTAACAGGGTCTCCAGGAGGACCACAAAGCTGCAGCCTTCACAGAGGGGCGGGGCGAACGCTGGGCACCGCGCGGGGGCGGGGCGGGAGCGTCCAATGAACGAGGCCGGCGGGTGGAGCGTCCAATGAACGAGGCCGGCGGGTGGAGCGCCCAGTGAGGGCGGCCGGGGGCGGGGTCCCGGGCCGCAGAGCAAGGCTGGCTAGGGCGCCAAGCTCAGGCGCCTTCACCGCTGGACCTGGGCACCAGGCCTGGCACGCGCCGCTGCGTGGCTGCTGGCCTGGCTGGCACCTTCACCCGGGTGGGGCGGGGCCACGCGTCAAAGTTCAGGGTGCAGACCCCGGCCCGGCGGGTCACTTCAGAGCCAGGGCCTCGTGGCAGGTGGCTGGCATTGTAGGTGAGGGAGCCTCCCCTCGTTATTCACAGTGTGGATTAAAAGGATCAGTAACTGGGCTGGAGGTTTAGCTCAGCAGGCATAAGTGTAAGCAGGCAGTCGTGAGTTTGATCCCCGGTACCGATAAAAAAAGGAAAAAGACAATAAAATAAAATAAAATAAAATATAAAAAAAGAAAGAAAAAAGGATCAGCAACTGATGGCAGAAACAAACGACTATATCAAAAAAGCGTTGGGTGATTTTTTTCTATGTACTCAACAGGTCTTTCCTGATTATGTCTCAAAAATCAAGAAGCAAAAAGGGAAAAGAGTGTAAATCTGATTACTTAACGCAAAACAGAAAGAAAATGTGGAAAGGAAAGTTTGTAAATGGATAAGGGGAGGAACGTTGAAGGGAGGGTAGGGGAATGGGAAAGTAAACAGTACCATGTAGAGGTACAAATCCTCTATGATGATCATTAGGTATGTCCCAAATGTACCAATAAAATCTAATTGAAGTGAAAAGAAACAAAGCTGTTCAGCCCCTGCCTACAGAAACAAAACACTACACTCACACTAAGCTAGTGAGAGTAGTCACTTGTTGCTCTGTTAAGAGCTATGCGTACCTAAAGCATTGAGTGCCTTTTATATGTGATTCTCTAAGACAAATACAAATGTTTTTAACTCTTAACCTTATTCTTCAACTACTCCACACTCATCTTGAGTTAGCTGTCCACCAACTAATTTCTAAGCATCTGCCCCTCTACTTTAGGGAAGTTTCCACCACATCTTGGAGGTTTCATTTGCTTTCTGGAAAACAAGTTCATCTTAGCTTCTTGGTTGCTCCTGAGGGTTCATAAAATGACAGAGTAAATATCACACTTCACTATTCAGCAAATGTCTCAAGATCCAACTTGAGTTGAGACTCATCACCAAGCCTCCCTCTCAGAATCCCCACACTCTTTCCACAACCAAACCCCATGGACTCTACCAGGCTCTTGAGCCCACCCTCTACTATCTGTTCCCTAATTTCAGCCTTTGTCATCTCATTACTGTTCATTTATTTTCTAACTCCTTATCTTTCCATACTATACCAGGTCAACTTTTTTTCATCTCTTCTAATCACTAAATCTCTTGAATCACATCTAATCTGCTTTTAGTGTGTTGAAAAAATTCATTTTATTAAATATGCTTGTAAATCTATGCTTTTAGTTGCTTCTTTTATCAACTATCTTGATATTTTCCCAGAATATTTTTATTTTCCTTCCAAATGTAAAGGTTTTTTCCACATGTCTTGCTCAGATTGTTGCATACAAATCTTCCATTTTTGCATCTGCTGACATTTTCTTGTATGGCCTGACAGAGGTAACCTCAAACTCCTTTGCAGTGGGCTTAACAGAGTGGATCAGTGTTCACACAACAGAGGTGCAGTGAGCTTCTTCCCTCTGCCCTCAGGAGACAATGTGGTCCAAAGGCAGCATCTCAGAACCATGAACAGGGCCTCACTAAGATCCGGTCTGTCAGCTTGTGGATCTTGGACTTTCTGACCTCCAGAACTGTGACTTTAAAGTTCTGTTATTTGTTCCTAAGCACTCGGGACAAGGAGTTCTGTCGTAGCAGCTGAGAAATTCCAGACAGTGTGGTTTCTGAACTGAGAGTCTCAATGGGTCTATTTCCTGGAAGCATTTCTACATAGCAGCTTCTCATTTTTTTTTTCTGCCAAACCCTACTGGCTTTGCCAGCTGTCAAATTCTTTAATCAAAATTTTTATAAAGATAAATTATTGGTTCATACATAGCTATAAGAAATAAGACTGATAAGTCTGGGTAGCCTCAACTTAGCTTCTCTCAAAGATAGCATCTTGCAAAATAATAGTATAATATCACAGCCAGGATAGTAATATTATAAAACAGCTTATTAACATTTTCCCAGTCCCATACATTCCCAAGAATGTTTAACATATTATTCATTTATGTACATATACTTAGTCATACAGTTTTATCTTTTATATTTTTTAATTTTGAGGTTGGTTCACTAAGAAATGTGAGATTTTGGAAGAAATTCATTCCTTAGCTTATGAAAGTTCAATTGCTCCAACATACCAGTGATATCATTGCTCATAAACCTGTCCACCTACGGAATTGCTTTTGCAGGTTTGTCAAAAGCCAGTTGAGCATGCTCTTGAGTCAATTTCTGGTTTTTCTGGTCTGTTGTATTTTTTAAATCTTATCATTAGGTTGAGTGGTTTCCCCGCACTTACTCTTGTAAAGATCGTGTTAGTTATTTTACCTCCTGGTCCTTTCCATATAAACTGTAGAACAGATTTCCTCCTTTTCTGAAAGAGATTGTATGAAACAAGTGCTAACTCTTCTCTAAGTGTCTGGAAGAATTCAGCAGTAAAAACATTTGGCCCTGGAGAACTACAGGATTACTCATATTAGCTATCTTTCCCCCTGTGGTGGAGTTGTGATGGTATGAGCTTTAGAAAGAATAGATCAACATTACCCCACTGTCAAGTTTACAATAATAATATTATTTGTAAGTAACATGATTATCCTTTTAACAGCTAGAGCATAAGCCTCCCGTTTTATTCCTGGTAATGGTGATTTTCATCTTTTCCTGGCTATTTTTGTCATGCTTTTTTTTTTTGTTTTACTGGTCTTATTAGTGGTTTATTGAACTTACTGATTTTTAGAATAACATTTTTTTCATTAATTTCTCCATTACTTTCCTATTTTTAAATTCAATAATTTCTGCTCTTTCTAGTCTTCTTTGTCATTGCTTTGGGTTTGTCACTTCTTTGGGTTTGTTTTGCTTTTCATTTTCTAGTTTCTTAAGGTAAAAAAAAATACTGATTTGAAAACATCACATTTTTCACATAAGCATTTAGTTCTGTGTATTATATAATTTGTTATCTTGTATATTCATTTTAATATTGTCTTTTTTACTTGCTCTTTGACCCATAACTATTTAGGAGAATATTATTTAGTTAATAGTTGTTCACAAAAGTTCCTACTATCTTTCTACCATTTATTTCTAGTTTGACTTCATTGTGGTCAGACAGTATACTCTAGACGACTTCAATTTTGTGATTTATGATCTATCCTATAATATATCTTGGCTGCTTTTCCATGGAGGTTTTTAAAATTGTATTGTTTTGTAAGATGGATGTTATCTATCTATTAGATCTATTGCTTATTGTATTGTTTAGGTCTTGTGTATCCTTGATAAGTGTAATTTTGTATTTGTCTACTGCCCTTTTCAGCTCACTCAATTTTTGCTTCATGTCTTTATTTTCCATTATGTAAATTATTTGTTTCCCTAAAATCCTAATGAGTTACTCCCTCTATCATGACGCAATATTTACTTTCTCCAGTAATTTTAATTGCTCTTCTCAGTTGCCACTTTGTCAGATTAATAGACCACTCCTTAATTGTTAACTGAGATGGGCAAGGTCACACACATCTGTAACCCCAGCATTCTAGGAGGCTGAGGCAGGAGGGTCCCAAGTTTGAGCTCTGCATGGGAAACTTAGTGATTTAGCCAGTTCTTGTTTCAAAATTTAAAAATACATAAAGGTGGATGTGGGTCAATGTGAATAACTCACATTCAGTTACTAGCACTTTCAACACACACACACAACACTACGTCTTTTCTCATCTAATTCTCTCCAACTCTATGACATTGGATCTCAAGTGTGTTTATCATGCATAGCATGTACTTGGATTGTTCACAAAGTTTAAGTACCTTTTCATGTGTGGAACATTTTGGAATAAAAATACTCTCCTAATCACCTTGGTCGGGACACACAGATTTTCATAGCTTGAGCAGCACTTCTCCCCTCCAGCCTTGCACAGACAACTTCGTTTCAGCTTTCCATGCACACTCATCTTGGAGTTTGATTTCTTCATCTCTTAGCATCCCACCCACAAGCACAGCACCTAGAGCTGACTTGATTACTCTATGTCTTTGCATATTTATTTCTACTCACTGGTTATTTCAGGTTCACCTATGTTTTAAGAAATATTGCTATTTGAGTCAGAATCTTCTATATTTTCAACCAAAGAAATATCCTTTTGAAATACTGCAGTCTGCTAAAATGACTAGAAGCCAGCTGAGGTGGTGCACATCTGTAATCCCAGCACTAGGGAGACTGAGGCAAGAGGATTGTTGTAAATTTGAGACCAACCTGGGCTATAAAGTGAGCTCGAGATCAGCCTGAACTGCATGGTGAGACCCTGTCTCAAAAAGACAAGAAAAAACAATAATAACTAAAATAAACTAAAATGGCTAGAAATCATAGCCCTGATCGCCACCTTCCATCTGATCTTTGCCTCAAACTGTACTGTTCCATATGATTTATTTAACTAACATAATATATTCCAGGTGCTGCTCTAACCATAGTGTAATTAAATTTCACAATAATTTTACCAGTAATGTACTTTTACTGTGTCCAGAGGGTTGTAATAACTTGCCCTAAAGTCATTCATTTGTAAGTTAGAGGCTGGACTCTAAGCCAGGAAGTCTGGGTGTAGACTCCATCATTTTACCGCTGTGTATCATTCACACCCTGAGAGCTGCAATTCTAAAGCATCCATCTAATTGGCTGCCCAATTAGTCCAATTAGACAAGGACAGATGATGAAGACCCTCAGTCTCTAACAAACTTTACCTACTTCATAGACCATCCCTTCCTCAGCATCGCTTTGTGAGGACCTCATCAAAGGTTCTGGTCATGCCGAGCATTTATTTCATTAATGTTTCATACAATGAATCTTTGCAAATCTGCTTCCACTGCTCAGCATGACCCTCCTCATTTTCTTTGTGTGACTAACTCATTCTTTGAGGTCTAATTGAAAATTCTCATTCTTCCTGAAGTTTCTTCAGACTCTCCTTGCTGAAGTTGGTTCCTAAGGGCTTTGTTAATTTCTTTATTTCATAGGGTTTATCGTGACTGCCTCATTCATTTCTGTGTTAGGTCTGTCACTGTTTATGGTTATGATACATCTCCTACCTCACACATTAAAACCATAGAATACTAATCACTGTCTGCTTTGAGCAGAATGCTTGCCGTGTGCAGGAATTCCAGTGTTTCACATGTGTTCTTTCTAACACCCTGGGATTGCAGCTGGATCCAGAGACTCCTGGAGAGGTGACAGATCATGGGTGCCACACTCCTGAGTAGATGTGACCACCAAGCTTTTAGCGGCAGGTGCCAAAGGAGGTGGGGGCCAGCTGAAGGAGATGGGTCCCTGGGCGCACAGCTTTGCAGTTCTCATACGGACAAGGACTAGAGCTGGAAGGGGAAAATGATAGCAGACTCATGCTGCGGGTTCGCTGACACGGGAGCCAGCACACCAGAACTATTGCTGGAAGTTAAAGCCAGGCTTGGGCAGTAGACGCCCCGAAGACTGGAAGCCGGCCTTAAAACGGCACCTGTAATAAAAACAGCTGGAGAACAGAGACCGTATTTAATCTTTC